GATTGTACACTAGTTTAATGGGCCCGGCATGGCCAGGTGGTTAGGGCACTCGACTCGCAATCTGCGGGTTCGAATCCCCGTCACACCAAACATGCTCGCCCGTGGGGGCGTTATAATGTGACGGCCAATCGTACTATTCGTTGGAAAAAGAGTTGGCGGTGGGTGTTGATGACTAGCTGCCTTCCCTCTAGTCTTACACTGATAAATTAGGGACGGCTAGCACAGATAGCCCTCGTGGAGCTTTGCGCGAAATTCAAAACAAACAAACACTAGTTTATTAAACAAATTTGACAACCTTCTGAATATAACTACCAGTATTTGTAAGTGAGAGTTGACTTTTAGACAAACTACACCTTATTCCAACATAATATAGATAGATGTAATTAGTTGTTTTAGAAACACTTCTGGAACTAGTTTGTGTTTCCAAGAGAGACTTTAATATATTTTCTAAGTGTAAGATATTTGTCTAATTTCATAAATTTTCCGCGATCCTCTTATTTATGGATTAACTGTATAAAAAATATATTTTTTGTTGTGATAATTTTCTCCATTATCTTTCGTTAAAACTAATCTGTCAGTTTTCTAAGATCTACAAGGTTTATATTCTCCTTGGAATAAGTTACGAGGCTTATTTCGAAAGTTACAATTACAAAAAATGAGAAAAACAGAATGACTGATGTAAATTTTCATTGTAAGAAAAGACGTAACAATATGAAATAAAACATGAACAACTTTTTAAATATCCCAGTTTCAGGGTTATATAACTAAATAAACAGCAAATAAGTAAAGAAACATAATTTTTCAGTGCTCTCTCTTATTTAAGATGTTGATAAAAAGATATAATAGTCATTTGGTTTATTTATAACAGGGCGAAAAAAAAGGAATTAAAAGTATAAATTGCAAAACTAAATCATGACGTTTTGGGCAAATCTGCCCTTCATTAGGCTACACTGCGAGTGAATGATATTTATATGTGGTGAAAAACGCTGTAGTAACTAATTAGGGGTAGTTAGTTTAATGTTGATACACAATCAAAACCAATATTAGAGAAATTCTTATAACCGATTGTTACCAAAATTGGCGTGTACTCCTAGCCCCCCAAAGAGTGACATGGGGGTGGAGGGTCGGCGTTTGGATCTGATTCATTTTTGTCACCCCTGTGGTCTGAATATCTTTCCATCAGCTAGTACATTAAAAAGGTGAATCCAACAATACCAAAACGGGCCAATAACAGCGTATATAATATTGTTGAAACAAAGCTACTGTTGTGGCGTAATATGTCGTCTGAAAGATGGGGAATTGGAAGTGTGGCGTCTGTTTTAGCGAGCATACTTTCTTTAAGTGTGGTTGTAGATCTTGTAGTTTTGATTACACTCCTTTACCTTGTTTTGTATGTAAAAATCCCGAGGTATCAAAATATGATGTTTTATAAAGAATTGTATAATTTTATCTATTTTTATTCAGTGAATTGTAATAAAGTATCAAATATTGCATTTGGTAAGTTTTACAGAACAAAAAATAGAATATTTTCTGGCGTGCTTCCAACCTCAATTCAAACTGGGATATAGGGAAGGTAAGCTAGTCAACAACAGTTATAGCGTACTCATGGCCTCAAACTGTGTATCGTGTCTGGTCATGATAATCACGAGGCTTTGGTCGGGCCAATATTATATCTCTACCTTACTGTAAATTGTAGTGCCCCTGAATCAAATTGAACAGTATTTATTAAACATACAAATTTATAGCCTTGTTTGTACAGAGTATAATATCGCTACCACAAGACAACTTTGTTATAATCAGTAAAAGCCAAAGATGAGCAGCTATTAACGGCTGAAGAGAGTTTGGTGACTGCTAAACTAAAGCTGAATTTGACCAACAGATGTCGACACCTTCGCTTCTACTCAAAGTGTAAGATTATTCTAGGCCTGGTGGTTAGGACACTCGACATGAAATCTGTGGGTCGTAGGTTCGAACCCCATCACTAAACATGTTCGTCTTCCCAGCCGTGGGATCGCTATAATGTTACGGTCAACCCTATAATTAGTTGGTAAAGTTTAACCCAAGAATTTGCGATGGGTGGTGTTGACTAGCTGTCTTTCCTTTAGTCTCTAACTTCAAAATTAGGCACTATTAGAACAGATAGCCCTTGAGTAGCTTTGTGCGAAATTAATAAACAAACAAGATTGCTCTAGCTTCTGAATAAACTCATATAACTTACTAACTATATTGATTTTGAAACGTCTTCAACAGCTTATTTTTATTGTTTATAGGATGATGGTTCTAGATCCTAGCGCAACACTTTAGGCTTAACATTTTTTTTACACTGTCGTGGAATGAACTTGTATTATCCAATCTAAGAATCACATTTCGTTACTAAAGTTTTAATGCCAATACGGAAATAATTGAAAGGTATATATTTTACCATTTTGATAAACACTTACGAGTATATTATATATACAACTATAAGTCTCCTGATGCAGAAAAAGAATAGCTGAAATATGAACAAAGAATTGAGTGTGAAACTTCAGTTTCGAACGACAAGGTTTTAATATGCATCACCGATTCATATACATGCAAATACGTTATTATTCTGGCATATCGGTTACTTTTATTCCAAAAACAAAATATTTGCTTGGAATTGTTGGTAATATGAATAGTAGAATATTGTAATTATGTTAATTCAGATTATGAATAAGTTCATAGAAACGTTTAAGTGAAAAACTTAATGGAAATAAAGATCTTATGATGGAAGTTTTCATCACAACCCTTCGTATTACCAGTATTCGTTACTATATCGGCACATTTCAATATAAACATCCTTTCCACTGGACAAAAAAAAGGAAAATAATTATTTTGTTGTATTCAACCATATTAAATATTTAAAGGTTTGCTTTACCTTATTTTACTGGGTTATTTGACATCATATTAACAGTTATAATATGCTAATGGAACTGGTATGATCAGAACGATTTAATAAACAGCAACAGTGGTGAACGAAGGACGAAAGAAAGTTCACGAGATTGTTAAACGGTGATTTCACAAGTATCTGGGTTTCCAGTTGTACATCTACCCAAGGTTTCGTCGAAAATTTTCCCATCTGGACAATCGTAAAAGTAGCTTCGGAAACCTTCTTCAAATACTGGAGCACACATGATGAATTGACTACAGTTTTTTGGATTTCGGTGGATACCCTGACGCATGCACTGCACGTTCATACTTTCTGCCACGGTCACTCCAGGTCCTCGAGGTGCAGGAGTTGTTGTAGTCCTCAATGGCCGCAACCGACGACGTATGGCTCGCTGGACAGGTTTAAAGTCTTGCAGTTCTTGGTCCTTTGGCAAGGTCACCGAGCTAACCCGAGAAGAAACAGCATCTTCATTTTCTCTTGATCTTGTGCGTGTCCTTATCCGAAATCGTGGCCGGAACCTTTGATGTCCACGTTTGCGGTTTAGCAGTTGAACCTTTTTATTCTCTTTATGTGGCGTTGTTGTGGGAGTTGGACTTGATCGGATTGGGGTGTTATACTGAATTGGATTATTAGGTAAAGTATGTGTGAATTGAGTAGCAGGTTCAACTTCAAGAGGAGGTTCTGTGGGTGTTTGAACTTTAGTTCTTTCTGGATTTTTGTAGATAAACAAGGAGTCGGTTTCTTTTCTTTCTTCTGGATCAGATGACCTGTCTGGGTCCTGGTAGTTCGAAAAGGGATTACTTTCTTCTTGTGTTTTGTTAGATCTGCTTGAAGTCTGTCGCCTGTTTGGTTCTACGTACTTAAAGAGCTTTTCACTATCTGGTTCAGCTTCGAACTGTGGCCTCCGCGGAACTTGGTTGGTCAGGTGGCCAGGTGATGGACTACTGAAATCTTTTGGTGATAATGTAGCAGGTAAATATTGAGAGGGACGTATGGGTCGTCGGTAACGTGGGATATTTAATGTTGGAGAGCTCTCTGTTGAGGTTGGTGAAGATGTGCTTGTTATACTTTGTGTTACGGACTGAACTTTGGAAAACTGGGGAGTTATGTAGTCTGGAAGGGTTCTAGATGTTGGAGCCAATGTCTCTGAAACAAGAGTAGTAACCTCCTCAGTTGTCTGTTCTGTCTTCAGAAGTGACTGAAGCAGTCGGACCAAATCAGCCAAGTTATGAGTGGTTGGGGCCTGAGTTTGTGGGACTTCTGTTGTGGTAGTCGTCGTGGTTTTACGGAAACTAAGGCGTGGACGTTTGAAGCGGAATGGTCGTCTGGTTGTTCGAGAAGGTCTGGAGGTTGTTGGTTTTGGAGCAGATTCTTCTTCACAATGCACATTCTGGCGATAATCACAAGAATCCCTTTGGGGATTGAAGTACAAACCAGCAGGACAAGTGAAAGTATGAGGAACGATACCTAGTTCTGCAGGCCCACTGTCAAGACACCAATAGTACTTCTTGCAGTTTCTAGGATTCCTAAAGAAACCTTCATCTGTGCATATGAAATCACCACCTGGATCAGGGGTTGTTGGAGGCTTTGGTGTTTGAAGAAGGTACTTGGGATTCTCGCTGTTAGTTCTGGCAGAGTCTCTCAGCCTATTGTAACCAGAAAGACGCCTGTACTTTTTGCGGTATGATTCACTGTCAGGTGATAGTTGCTGTTTGACTTCGTCTAGTATTGTCTGGACGACAGATTTAATTGGATGTTCTTTATTTCCAGTGAGCAAAGCATTACGTAATGTCGTTACCAAGGGGCTTTGCTCTTCCCCACACAAACCTCGAAAATCATCATCAGCTAATGTCCACACCATAGCGCCCCCTAAGCCTTGTTCTCTGATGTAGTTTGCCTATTTACAAATAAACCAATACAAATCAGTTCAATACTCAGTAATTTCCGAGTAAATTAGCTGTGAAATTCAAACTATAAAACGAATTTGAAAAACAGTAATAATACATACTTTCTTGGTTATTATCACTTCGTCATCAAATCCAACCCACTGATTGTCTTTAAAACAGTAGGGTCCAAAAATATCTGAGTAGGGGCGTCTTACTTCCCAGTCCTTTTCAAGAATATTCTGACAGATCTAAAAAGAAACATCTTTCTGAAGCTAATAACAATGATAAAACATGAGTAATGCAGAGCAAATTGATGTGAGAAGAAGGACGTGATTAGTCGTTAGGATCAGCTCGCAATACAACAAAATCTTTGTGTTTCAAATATGGTAGTCTAGTAACACCTATAAATTACCTAAACTGTAGTTTTTTAGCTTTGACCTAACTAATATATATATTTATAAACAATGCTTTAAATAAACACAGGTCATCAATTTTAAAACTTTCATGAGTTAGATTCACAAACGGACCACTTATTTACAAAATGAGTTTGGACATGCCTTTGATATTTATTTATAGCCTCAGAACGTATAGAATAGAACACTACACACAATACCATGTTTTATTTATAACACAGAGTATCATATAGATGGGGGTTTCCTGTAGGTGGGTTGTTACCATGTACAAAAATCCAGCCAATGGAAAAGCTTTATAATATGATACAAACCTAATTCTAAAGGATAACTTAAATAATTGTTGTAATTAAATACATGGGTGTGCTGATGATGAATAGTACAAAGATATATCACTAAAATACCTCATGATAAGACAAATATCCCTTTTCTCTGGATGATGAACCTTCCTCACCAGGCCCATCTGCAGCAGCATTGATCTCGTTGTCATCAGGGTCCAGTAGGGTAAATGATCGTCCATAAGTAGGAACTCCTACTATTAATTTGTGCCTAGGAGCTCCTAGTTCCAGATAGTAACTTATAGTCCAATTCTGAATAAATCAATCGAAAGTTATAGTTTTTTTTATAAAGTACAAAATACGTATTTAATGTTAAAAAGTATAAACTTTCAAGTTTTATTACACGGTATATAACTTTGTAATTAATGTTAAAAAGTATAAACTTTCAAGTTTTATTACACGGTATAAAGCTTTGTAATTAATGTTAAAAAGTATAAACTTTCAAGTTTTATTACACGGTATATAACTTTGTAATTAATGTTAAAAAGTATAAACTTTCAAGTTTTATTACACGGTATATAACTTTGTAATTAATGTTAAAAAGTATAAACTTTCAAGTTTTATTACACGGTATAAAACTTTCTATTGAAAAAAATATTATCAGAATAATTAATACGTCACAAGCTTTGTATCTGCATTAATGGTTAATTAAAATATAAATATCAGACATATATAAATACATGTATAATTAATCAAATGTCTTACTGAAAGTACTTTTTATTACTCACAGTTTCTAATACCAAGGTATACCCAACTTATAATAAAAGAACATATAAGATCTGGTGACACAAATAATTGTATAATTTCGTCTCTTGCTAGAGGATCTGTGCTAATTTGGAATTTGTATTTCAGTTCATGGTAAGTCAGTAACTTCTAAAAGAACATGTTATAAATACAAACACTATGAAAAAGACCTAATAACCAGTTAGCCATTTACGGCCATCGTAATGTGCTAATACCGATACAAGCCAATGAGAGAAGTTAGGGGTCATACAATTATAATTAAGTTATAAGGTGTATTTTAATGTTGTAATTTATAAGTTAGATAAAGGAAGCTGCGGGATTTAATGATAACGTTAGGATTAAAAGATTTGATAAGATAGGCCTAGAACGCCTATAAAATTCTAAGGAAGTGACGTAACAATTTCTAGTATATTCGAAAGTAGATTATAAATATTAACAGAAACGTCATCCTACTGGTGGCAATTACTCATCGTAGTATTCATACCTCATTGAAATTTTTTTTAGAAGAAGTGAACATTTTCTAAAAAGTATTTTTCTGGAAAGTACTGCACGGGAAAAGTGTTCGAATTGTGTTGATATAAACTGTAATGTTCTTATATGTTAAAAGTGGTACTCTTTATTGAAAAAAAATAACAGTATTTTTAAGAACTCCATTTTTAGTACTACATTTACAAATTACATCAATAAAGATACAATCAAACCTTCACGTACAGTCTTAGTAAAAGCCGTGTTCTTGCTGTGAGGAGAGTATTTTAATTTAAACTTGTGTTCTGTGATAAAGAAACGGTTGTTGCACATACTATAGTTATTTTTCTAATTGTCTGGATCTTGAATACCCAAGATTTGAAATTATTTTATGGATGTTTGTTTGTGGAGCAGTTCAATAGATGGCGTCACATTATATATATATATATATTTCGGACAGATACATATATGGCTACATATATACACACTACGTCACTTATAGTAACACAAGTTAAGAGAATGTAGAACTGTATCAAGAAAAAGAGTTATTTCTTGCTGATAGAGTGAAATAGTCGGTGTATTTGGATCTGTGTTTTACACCGCGTTTATTGAGTTACTTTGTATAAGTAAGTTAATTTTACGTTAATTATAATATTGTTAGAGAGGTTTGAACACCATTTGTAAAGTAGGCTTACGAGAACTTATGATAGTATACAAGTGTTCAAGCTTGTAGAAACGTAAAAAGAGGAAATAAACTCTATTATGATTGTTATGTTTACTGGATGTTGAATTATTTTCACTAAATAATTTAAAAGAACTCGCCACCGAAAGAACAACGCTACAACAACATTATACATACTGCATATTAAGTAGAATTTGGCGGCTGTTAGTCGTTATACTGAAGTGTGAATAAGCAAAATACACTGAGCAGTCGTGGTTGGTTGCCATTACTACTAGGACTACGTGAAGGGTCAGAGATCTGAATAAAAGACTTAGAGTAAAATATTAGAAAATATGTTATTGTTACGCCTCCAGTCGTTACTTAATTTTCAGTAAATTCGTTCCGACGAAACTTTAGCGACACAAGTCCTTTCTTAAATAAAACTGGTTTATTCTTTCCGAATACAACTTTACGATACACTTAATTTCAACAGTTGCGCTATAATTCTCAACGAACGTCTCACGTGCTCGACTTCAACAATACTCCGTTCAATTACACACTCTCTGACTGCAGTTCAATCACTCAATACACTGTTCTCCCGTCACGTTGTGAACGTCTTATATATACAAGACTAACACATATCTAGTAAATGCTAGGGCATTCTTGAAGTAACAGGATATTTCTAGAAACAGGTGGCGTGATACTAGTCACATGACCTCGCTGACGCAACATTATTGTATTTGTATACTGTATATTCGGATTTTAATGATATGCAAATACATCAAGTTTCTAAGGGTAAAAATGAAACCCCTCCTTGACAATCTCTAGTTAAATTACTTAATTACTCGCTTCATTGGCCTGAGCCCCGGATCCTTCCAATAACCAACATCCAGTAATGAAACTCTTCTGAAAGAAGTACAAGTACTCACCTTTGTATGACCTGAATATAAATTTGTCAAGAAGTTAATGGTATTACTACTTGCACTTTTGAAATCGAACTGCCAATAAAACAAAAAGTAACAGAACTCGAAAAAATATTCCAATTGGAACTTAAAAAAGAACTGGTGCTGAGTACCAGTAGCATTTCACCCAGGACAGCAACACTACTCCACTAATCTTGTACCTACCAGATTCAGTCTATTTCGTTCATCCCATCGACCAACATCGGGGGGTTTATATAGAGGAGCGTGATGGTCGACTATTGCTTCGTAAGCTGTATGGTAATCGTAGGATAACACGTTCATGAAGTCCACGTACCTGCCACACAGAAATATGTCATATAAGCTATGACCGTAAAACACAAAAGTTTGTTCAGCTAAGTTATTGAACAAAAGTAAAGAAAACTGCTCAAAAGTCTTATCTTTATGATATATATATATATATATTTAATATTTACCATAAGCTTTAGTAAGTGTATTATTGGGTTATGTCCTTGGATTTGTATATTGGAAGTATTATTGAGTTTAAAGGCATAAGAAGACAATCACGATCACCCTTATGCTATGATGTTTATTTGGTTATGTTAGGAAGGTAAAAACAACAACAAAACAAGATCGCTTAATAACAGTACAAAATGGATAACAGGTTTCAAGTTAGGGTAGCTTTAAAATTTTCTACCTCCCTTTTATTGTCTCTCGTGGTTCATAAGAAAGGAATGTTGTTTATGTTTATTAAAGTATCCCAAATCTGCGTTTCAGTATGTATAAACAATACGTAATAAATAGTTTGACAATATAAAACCCGTACTTTTACAAAACGTTTAGGAAGTGCTTCACAAATGGCTCATTTCTATCGTACAACTTCACTATGTGCTTTATCTATTTACCAGATTTCACTTTTAAACTTCACTAAGACTTCTCGGTGTCACGTTGCCCAAATTTTCTGGCAAGCCCTGTAATCACCCCCCCCCCCAAAAAGAACAGAAACCAGCAACTTTGTATTACTTCCTTATTTTCACACTTCCTATTTCATTGTTTCCACACATCCTACTTCATCATTTTCACATTTCTTACTTCTTTGTTTCCACATTCCCCACCTCATTTTTTCTTGTTGTTACACTTTCTTTTTCTCACACTTCCTAATTCTTTGTTTTCACACTTCCAACTTCCTTGTTTTCACACTTCCTGCTTACTTGTTCTCACACTTCCTAATTCTTTGTTCTCACACTTCCTACTTCCTTGTTTTCACACTTCCTGCTTCCTTGCTCTCACACTTCCTGCTTCCTTGTTCTCACACTTCCCACTTTCTTATTTTCACATCTAGACTACGTACCAGAAACACACAAAGAACATCTAATAAAATAATAGAGCAATTCAGCGATGTGTGGACATATACAAATCTTAGGCTCAACCTAAAAATGTGCGTGACAGTTCCCAAGGGCAAGATTAATGCAGCTCAAGGTTTATGTTTCTAGCACTTGTAAATACATAAACCAGCACTACAATCTGTAAAGTTGTATGGATACAAATTTGTATGTACGTAATGTTATGGAAGGGCGTGATATCTAGGTATCACAGTGGCATATAAAGGTACAATATGGTCCTTTCACGTTGTGTGACTTGGCTTTACGTGTTCCATAAAAGTTAGTCTTGACATGACCTCGCACAGAAAAATTAGCTAATTATATACACTAACTGAAAGTATTCGTTAAGGAAACAAAAAATTTATAAAGAATAATGCAAGATAACGTTCCCTTTTCTTTATTTTGTTATTAAATCCTAATGATCTTATTGATGCTAATTGCATATCCTGCTTTATGGACCTATTTAAGTAATTCATTGCTCATGTTTTTGAATTCAAAGCCAAATGTCTATAAGAAAGTGAAATGCACGCTATTTCATGTTTTGTTAAATCATTTTCTCGGGCAAGAATATTTAAATAGCCCATGTCGGACAGATTCCAGTTATCATACAAAAAGTTACGGTAATCAAGCCAACCACCTCTGGGTGACGGATGCTAACATACACACATATACATAATGAATCATTTTTATTGTAAAATATAGTGTGTTATCAATTATTGCATTATTATTTCTGTTATTATATGACACAAATAGATGTCGCAACACGTCCTTGAGAGGCTCTGTCGTTATTTCAACTAGTTGGATTGACTTGCCAAGGTATATATAATAACTGACGTACCTGTTATAGATGTTCAACAGTGAAAGATAATACATAAGTAGCAGATATCCGAAAACATTTGCAGTTAAATTATTATCTTTATTGCAACAGTACTTCTTTAAACACAGGATTTTTAGAATAATACAAACGAAATCTATATACCCATTTGTCTTAGGCCTAACATTATTTGAGCCTTTATTAAGTTCGGCCCATATTCGATAAAGAGGCTAATTAACATTGTAACTTTTGTAGGTTTTTTTGCTTTAGTTTAGTTAGGGCTAAACTTTACCGTACTTAATACTATCAATAAATAAACTTGTAATATTATTCTGCTACCTAACGTTAGATCATGTTAAAAACTTGGATAAGCTTTTAATATCCACAAAGTGTTTACTAATGTATATTTAAATCCGTTGAAATGAAATGCGTGCGCAAGAAAAACTGAGTATTATTATAATTGATAGGATTTTGCGCAAACATTATACAGGGCTGTCACAAAATAAGTATAAGTTTATTTTTAAGTGGTGTAATAACTACAAAACCTGCTAGTTGAAAGGATGTATAAAACATATGTGGAACAAGGTCATGAAAAAAACGACCAAAAGTGGCGCTGGAGAACGTCCTTGAAACCATAATTGATTATAATATGATACCCTTAGTGACCGCAGGTAATATTGTGAGTGTGGTGGGAGGGCTTATCCTTTCACTCATGAATTAGTAAAACTATTCAATCATACACACTCACACATACAATATCATACCTAATACTACGTGTTGCTCGTTGCTAAGGGTATGCTTCGTACTATTGTCCTACGTGTTCTGGAGTTTGTTTTTGAAATAGACGGCGGGTAGGTATATCAAATGTTTGAAGTAACTTACACCAGTATTTTTTAAATTTAGGATAATGTACTTCATATTGCAGCGATACATATGGTATTTTTTAAAAGTAGTACAGGTGTCATGGGAGGTCATATATATATATATATGTACACGGTTATACTCAAACTGTCTGCGCCAATCCTGTACAATGCCAAGAATCCATTTCCTAGGATTATTAGGAATAGAAAACAGATTTAAGTATATGTAGCATTTTGTTTTTGATATACCAGTTTCCTGTCTTTATCCTTGAAATGCAATATTTAACGTACTTATTCAATGAATTGATATTGTTGTAAGCTTTACTTTTTAATATTTTAATTTATAGGTTTTTGCTAGAGGTTGAATGTCATTACGTCATAATGGCGCAAGATGTAGAGTTAGTTAATGAATTATTCAATTTAGTGAGTTAATGACTCAGTAAGCTAAACAGTGAGTTAGTCAGCTTGTTTGTTATCTATCGACTAGTGAGGAACGGTACAAGTAAGTTTATAAGTAAGTTAGGTGTACCTAGTTTCTATTGAAATGTTTGTGAAGTTAAGCCTAACCATAAACCCAGCGTTATTGAAAAAATGAATTAATTCGTTACCCTTATGTGGATTTAACTTATACGAGTATTATTTTTACCAAATAATCCAGAAGAACCAGTCTAACGATAGAACATATTATGTTACCATTTAGAATTAAAATTTAATACTGTATTTCGCTTATTATCTTAATGATGTTAATATTATTTTAGAAACCTCTTAATTTCCTACAGTACGAAATTAATCGTAACAAAATCCACGAAGTCTAGATTTTTGCCAAGTGAAGTACCTATATAACTATGTAACTACCTTGTTAATCACCTTTTCCAAGCTAGCGAAGTATGATTATAATTAATTCTACTTTTCATAAGTATCACTAATAGACCTATCATATTTGGATATGGCGAACATAGTATGATTGAAGTTCTATTATTATATACTTCTAATTCTTGAAAATCCCCAAGGAACTAAATAAAGAATGTAGTGTTAAAATATAATAGGCCTAATACTAATGTCTTATGACAAGTATAATTAATTAATGACATTACTTTGTGTAATTCTGTTGAAAGATCTAGTAAAATCCGATTTAACATTTAGTTCAAACATTTTAATCCCATAGAAATGTTCTACAACAACAACAACATGGACAAGGAAATATGGAATATCGGTTAAACAACAACTAGTGTAAAAAAAACACACACACACACAAAAGCTAACAGAATAATAGGCTGTCCATATTTTGTGTCGCATCTGATTTAATTTAGTAAAACAAAACAAAATGGTAAGTCATAACGTTTCGTCGTGTTAGGAGGTTATCAGTTAGAGTAAAACAATATATCAAGGAGTAAAATCTACATTACAAATAATTAATTACTGGTAACAACTCTTTATACCAGCTGTGTCATTCAGGTGTGTCTGATGTAGGCCTACGGTCGAAAGGTAACTCCTATTAAAAACGTTTTTTAGGACAAACCACAGCATTTACATGGCACAACTTGTTTTTTTCACAAAGTAATAATGTCTGTAAAAATTCTCACAATATGTACTTAAAATACTGTTTTCAAATCTTGTTGCCATATCGGTGGGTATATGCATGCCTCTCAAAATTAGAGGTGGGTATACAGTACACACCCTCGAATAAGCTCCACTACACCACTGCCTACGTCATTGTTTTTGTTTTTTTTATGTAATATTTTCATCTCACTTTCTATAACATTCAGAATTGGGTGTAATATACAATTTGTGATCTTTTTTACATAAATGAATGTCATATTTTATAATAAATCTATAGTCATAATACAAACGATCCTCTAATACCTACTTAGAAATTTCTGGAACATCGTAGCCGTTATCAATGTAGTCCTTCCCAGCAGGCACTGCGACAGAAAGTATCAACCTCTCCTTCCTGCGTGAATCTCCTTCCTGATTAAACGCCTCTCGAAGTTCCTGTGATAAGGAATACCTATGTAAGTATATTTAAATTTTTCCTTTGATTTAAGACAGTAAGCAAAATTCAAACAAATTATAGGCTAATTAATTTAATTAAAACCAACCCGATTATAAATTACACGGTTGTCGTAGAGTATGTGGGTGTTTTAACGCAAAGCCACCATCTTCGTTCTGTCCACCGCAGGAATCGAACTCCCGAGATTGACGTGTAAGTCCGTAAGCTTACAGCTGACCCACTGAAGGGGGGGGGGGGAGGACTATAGTGGAGTGTCAGTTATACATATAGCAGAAAACAGTTCTCTGCTCGGGAAGAAAACATGCTTTTAATAATGTGAAAATAATGCGTTTACTTTAGAAATATTATCTGTTCAGTTCATATGTAGAAATATAATATACGGGAGTCAACATTGAGTTGTAGGGACCTTAATTTATATGCTAATTACATACTTTTCAGGGTCCCAACGTATTTCTAACTTTTTCTGGGAGATGCTGATGGAGTGTTGGTTTGGTGGTCTCGTCTCTAGTGGCATTACCATGTACAGAGGTACACGAAGGCTGTTTCTTCCCTATTTTCACTTATTGGATGACAAGATGAGATTGATAGCGCATTTTACGACCCAATAAACTATTATCGAAATGGAATTCATTTATATAATTTTTGTTTTATTAAACCCACAACAGTTAATATCTATGAGACTACAACTCGTGCCGGCATGGCCAGGTGGTTAGGGCTCTCGACTCGCAATCTGAGGGTCGCGGGTTCGAATCCTCGTCCTACCAAACATGCTCGCCCTTTAAGCCGTGGGGGCGTTATAAGTGAGGTCAATCCCCCTATTCGTTAATAAAAGAGTAGCCCAAGAGTTGGCGGTGGGTGGTGATGACTAGCTGCCTTTTCTCTAGTCTTACACCTTAGGGATGGCTAGCACAGATATCCCTCATGTAGCTTTGTGCGAAATTCAAAACAAACCGAAACCAGAACTAGCGTTATCAGATAGGTAAAGTAGGCTTACCGTTTAGGGTAGTAAAATAAAATGTAATTTTGTGGATGAATTCTTCAAATAGCTTCTAATAACGCCATTTTTGTATGTTTTCTATTTTTTAAATATAAAACACATTGTTGGAAAGTATTGTTACAATAATGACGTGAGTGAAAGGCAATAATGGCGCTGTTTGTGCAATCCGATACCAGAGAGATATGCGACACTATTGTTTCTATTACAGGCAGCACCAGTTGAACAAGGGCACGTGAAGAATAACTACCGAGATGCTAAGTTTCAAATTTGTGGTATGACTGTGTGAGATCAACTTTGAAGGCTAGCGCGTGCAAGGTACCGAACTGATGAAGGTTTTTACAAAAACACTGGTAGATGTTAGGGATAAATTATGTTGTTGAATTTCGTACAATGCTACTCGAAAGCTATCTACACTAGCCGTTCCTAATTTAGAAGTAATAGACTAGAGGGAAAACAGTTAGTCAACAACACTTTGGCTGCTCTTTACCAATGTCATATTATAACATTCCAACGGGTGAAAGGACGAGCAAATTCTAATCAGATTGTGATTCGAGTCACCAGGACATACCAGGCTCTAGGACACTTGTGATTCGAGCCACCAGAACATGCCATGCTCTAGGACACTTGTGATTCGAGCCACCAGGACATGCAAGGCTCTAGGACACTTGTGATTATAGCCACCAGGACATGCAAGGCTCTAGGACACTTGTGATTCGAGCCACCAGAACATGCCATGGGCATGTCCTGGTGGCTATAATCACAAGTGTCCTAGAGCCTTGCATGTCCTGGTGGCTCGAATCACAAGTGTCCTAGAGAGGCTCTAGGACACAAAATAGATCGGAAAAAATCACTGGAAAATTTTAGAAGCACTCGGAAAAACGCAAACACGGTTTTCACACGGAAGTCGGGATGAGATTATCATTCATCTACAACAAAACTTCAAAGTGAATTTCTTTAATAATACAACCATTGAATCCGTGGAAGAGAGATTTCAGGAACTACAGAAATACAGTTTGTTGTTCAGTTTCCTGTACTCCATTGCTGGTCTGTTCAAATCAGTTCCAGGGACTAGCTGAAACATTATGTGGATCTCCAAACTGGCTTATCAGATTGGGAGATAATTGATCTTTGTGCAACAGACCCTCTCACGCAAAATGACTAAAGACACTCCACAAAGTGTTAGAATACATGTACAAGGTTCAGTATGCTATATTAAAAATGATTTTGGAGCCTCACCACGTCGTTACAGTCTACCTTCCCATGTCCAGTCATGCTCTATCAGATTACTGTGCATCCTGTTTCCGTTGCAGTAGGCTGCATTTTAAGGCTGCCATGTCAAAAGCACACCACTGTTCCCTGCATCCTTATTATATTCCATGTGGGGTGCGAAGGTGACGGTTTCTCAGCGCCATTTTCACTAGTCCAATGGCACAGAAATACACAGGTGGTGTGTCTGGTGACTTGACCAATATGTCTTATTATGTAATAGTATGAATACTCGTTTCATCCTCCAGCTGTTAAGGTATGTGATATCTGAATGGATATGTCATGAAAGCAAGTTGTGTACACATCACTTGTGTTATTTTTCCAGATTGATTATCTTTAGTATTGTTGCCTGTGGCACATGGACGTTTCTGCCACTGAAATTTGTGTTCACTTTGCTTATCATAAATGAGATACAACTTGTTGTACATCTATTTTTGGATGGTCCTGTTGCTCCAAGTTTATCCATATTCCCCTGTTTTCCAATGCCATTAAGAGGAAGGAATATTCCCATCTTGTCCACATTTTTGAGAACTGAGTGTATGAATATTTTATGTCAGAAAGAGCTATTACACACTATTATAAGAAGAGATCAATTTTTGACGTCATCACACTACCTACGTAACGTAAAATGTAGTTGTGATACAAGTTATTCCATCGTCATGTTGTATCGGCTATAGTTGATACAACGCACTCAACTCTCTGCCGTGTCCCAAAATCTCTGACTTGACCCAACATCGCTATCAGTAGAGAATGAAGGTTGTTGTTTTGTTTTTTTTACTGAAAATTATTAAACCCTATCTGAACTCAACCATGCCAGGAACGAGACTGATTGGACTGGCAACAACTACGATCGAGCAATAACTTAAATTTTGAATAGCAATTATGCGATTCTGCCTCAGTGAAAGAAATATAGTAATCTCTCAATTGTGAACCGTTCAACTAGCACGGTACCCACGTTTCAGCTGTTACTGTGACACTTTCTTAGTTTTTAATAAATAAATACATAAATTTGGCTTATTTTCTTTAATCCTGTGAATGAAAGTAAAACTGGAAGAGCAGATTGAAAACTTGTTTAGGGTACCAGAAGAAACAAAGCAAAAAGAGGGAAGAACAGACTGAAAAGTTGTTTAGGGTACCAGAAGAAACCAAGCAAGAAGAGGGAAGAGCAGATTGAAAAGTTGTTTAGGGTACCAGAAGAAACCAAGCAAGAAGAGGGAAGAGCAGATTGAAAACTTGTTTAGGGTACCAGAAGAAACCAAGCAAGAAGAGGGAAGAGCAGATTGAAAAGTTGTTTAGGTTACCAGAAGAAACCAAGCAAAAAGAGGGAAGAGCAGATTGAAAAGTTGTTTAGGGTACCAGAAGAAACCAAGCAAACAATTTATAAATTGATAACCATGGTCACATTTCACAGAAAGGGTTATTCTGTGTTTTATCAGAAAGACAACCTTAGGGAGAATGACAGATTAAAAAGTAAACTTGAATCAGTTAACTTAGTTATTTTTTGTTTGTTGAATTTAGGGCAGAGGATTATCTGAAATAACTGCCCCTAGTTTACATGTGATAGACTAGAGGGAAGGCAGCAAGTCATTATCCCCCACCACCAACTTTTGGGCAACTCTTTTACCATCGAAAATTGGGATTAACTGTCACATTATAAACAACCATACTAGGCCTCCAGATCCAATAATTTATTATAAACGACCATACTAGGCCTCCAGATCTAATAATTTATTATAAACGACCATACCAGGCCTCCAGATCTAATAATTTATTATAAACGACCATACCAGGCCTCCAGATCTAATAATTTCTTAAAGATCTATAAACAATTAAATCTCTGCAATTTAAGACAAAATGCTGACACGAACATTAAATTTCTAATAAATAATTAAACTTATAGTGGAAGTTTCAAAAACAGCTACTAAAAGTGAAAACTAAATATTCCCTCACCAATCATGTTTTATAAACCTAATTATTGGTCTTTTTTTATAACTGCTTTTCTAAGACGAAGAATTAAGAACACTTATTAAAAACTTTTAATCTTCGTTCCGATTATGTTTAAACCTAACAACTTTTCCTTACACGGCTGCTTTTTGTTTTAAAGACTAAGACACTACTAACCTTAATCAAAAGAGCATAACCCTTGCGGTCACCGTTACTACTACCATCCCTGGACCCTGGATACTCCCAGTCCAACTCTAAACCATCGAACCTGTTTTGTCGTAAGTAGCGTATGACGCTGTGAATAAACTTTTCTCTTGTAGAAGATTCTCGAACAAGCCTAGAAAACCTAGAAGACACTTCAAAAGTTGTAGTTTTAAACCATATTAAACAATGAAAAAATAACTGATATCTTTTTTTATTACCAATTAATAATTTCACTACCTATAGAAATTAGAAGGTCTTGTGACGTTAATATTTTTCTGGAGATCTGAAAACTGTAAACCAAGCGGAATTCGAACCTTTAACTTCGAGTTACAGACTCTCCGTTTTGAAGTTTTGAGCAGGACTTCGTAAGCTATGCCAACCAGTTTTAACAACAGTAATGACATTTCAGTTCATAAAATTCGAAGTTTTTTAAATAAAGTGAGATTGAAACTTTTTGGTGGGCGGGTACATTAAACCGCCACATCTTTAAAGATAGACACCTTTTGTATGTTTACTGTTTTGTCCAAAAGAAATACCAACTTAAATCGAGCCAATAAGAATGCTGGAAACTACAACTCATCTTCCATTGCAGGTCCTACATGCTGTTTACTGACTTTATATTTGTGAATGTTATCATTTTTATTTTTTAATATTTTGGAAAAAAAACACACACAAAATACTGGGGGGGGGACTCCCCATTAACCTTCCCAGGTTCCACCGCCTAGGAATGTAGCAGTTTTTATTCATTTGCAGTTCATAATAAAATTTATTATCACTCAAGACTGTTTGTCGAACTTCGTTCTGGATGATCAGTGAAGTGAAAACTGACAGTTAGGGCATTCCAGATTCTTATCTAACTAAGGCATTGGCCCGATAAGTCGCTGGTTGAAACTGTCTGATACCACTTTAGAAAAATATCATGTTTGTTTAGAAGGTTTTTTAAAAAAAATATTTTATTTATTAATACGTCTACAAACAAGTTTTCTCAACTAAAATATACATAACCAAAAGTGTGATTGATACTTAATTTAAAATAAAAGTTAATAGCAAATACCAATAAATTAATGATCGGTTGAATTTACTTTTGATTTAAATATAGGTAAATTTACCTTTTAGATCCTTCGTTCCATCCACCAATGGCAATCATCGTCTTTAGATCTTGATTATGTTTTTTCAAACCCACAAACTTCCTGTAATTACCTAAAGTGACACCTGGTTCATTAGTCATAAGTTGTTTCGTGAACTAAGAAGGAAAATATATTTACCAAAACAAATAAAGAGCAATCCATGCTACGGGCTTGACCTTAACTCCCCCTCGGTGGGTTAGTGGTTAGTTTAAGGATTTACAACACTAATATCCAATGTTCGATTTCTCGTGGTGAACAGGGTGCAAATAGCCTATTATGTAGCTTTGCACTAAGAAAACAGCAGCTTGGCCATAATGAAAAGTGAAGATTTACGCACCATATATATAAAAAAAATATGTTGTTGTTTGGTGTTTTGTAGCGCAAAGCTACACAATGGGGTCTGTCCATCGTGAGGAATCAAACCCATTTGAGTGTTTTAAATCCATAAACTTACCGCTGATCCACTGGGAGAAAAAATGTGAAATAATACTAGTTAAAAGTTTTGATTAGATAAAAAGGTTATGTAGAAAATTACAAACGTTAAAGTTAAGCCACGTATAACATGATAACCAAGGGCAGAAATAGATTGTTTAATGCTAAACATAAAGCAACACAATGGGTTATCAGTGCTCTGCCCACCACGTATAACATGATAACCAAGGGCAGAAATAGATTGTTTAATGCTAAACATAAAGCAACACAATGGGTTATCAGTGCTGTGCCCACCACGTATAACATGATAACCAAGGGCAGAAATGGATTGTTTAATGCTAAACATAAAGCAACACAATGGGTTATCAGTGCTGTGCCCACCACGTATAACATGATAACCAAGGGCAGAAATAGATTGTTTAATGCTAAACATAAAGCAACACAATGGGTTATCAGTGCTGTGCCCACCACGTATAACATGATAACCAAGGGCAGAAATAGATTGTTTAATGCTAAGCATAAACCTAAACAATGGGTTATTAGTGTTGTGTCCATCACGGGTATCGAAACCCTGTTTTTAGCGTTATAAGACATCAGACTGAGCCAATGTGGCGAATTTGTCTATATTTAGCGATAGCTACACAAGGTGCGATCTGCGCTCTGTTCACCGCGAAGATTTGAATCCCGGATCTTAGGAGTGTAAGTCCATAAATTTATCGCTGTCCCACCGACGGACGAAGAAAAGGAAACTACTTTATTAACATTGAAAATCAAAACATCGAAATGAATTTACGTATTTTCTGAAGTTGGTTGCACAAAAACTGTTTTTTTATTTTTCATGCACCGATATAACGAAGTTCATACTAACAAACTATTGCCCGTGTTTCGTTAGTTTGTGTTATACTGTTCGTGTAAAAATTTTGGTGAAAAACGGTTCAACGCGTTTTAGTTTATTTAAAATTCAGGTCTTCGTGTAACAGAGAATAAAAACTTAGTGCATATATTA